GTCGCTTCAAGCGAAAGAAAGACGCGATAATTTATGCATGATATTGATACAATCAAATGTCATCCCAAAACCGATACGCGACGATTTTATAGAAATAATACTGCAAGAAATCAACGAAGAATTGGACAAAACAGAGGATACACAACAACAAGACATGTCGTTAACACCAGCTTCGAATACGTCAAGAATAATAATAAGAGAATCTGCGACCAATGTAACAATTCCAACGACAACAAATATGGCTCAAACTATGACAACGACTAGTTTCATCAATACGCAGCCCATGATGTCGACAACAGAAAATAGGACGAATGCTATGCCACATATGTTGCAAATGCCAGAGAAAATGATTTGGTGTAAGCTACCCTCAGGGAAGGCACAATACATACCAGAATCAACGGCAAAAGAGCTGAAAGGAGCTTAATTGCAACAAAAACGTTAAAAGAGAAGGTCGACAAGCTAGAGAAAAATTTATCAAGACTCAAAAGCTAAAACGCTGAACTGCAAAACACAGTTTACAGTCTAAATAATCAAATAAAAACGATAACAGATATCAATAGTAATTTGAAAGTTACTAGACAAGATAAAAATGTTATCTTTAGAGACACGTATAGTCTCATCGACCCAGATTTTGATTTAACGACAATCGAAGAACAACCACAGCTGAACGCAAGAACAGCACTCTTGTCATCAACGGCAAGAACTCAAACACCAGCCACAACAACTAGTATTTTAAGAAATCCATCGCCGATCGTGAGTGCAGGTACAACACAGATAACAACACTCGGCACACCAGGCTTTCAGCCCGGTGGAGTGACTTCTACCCCCGCAAGCCCAAGCTAGGGGAGGGGGGATCACAGACAAGAAGCGTATTCGCTTTCGCATGCGGCAGGAGCGCAATCGACAAACGCGACTCAACAGCAAGCCACTTTGATCCATGGACTTCCAAGTTGGAGGACTAGTGGAAACCATTTGGATAGTACTAGAGTTCAGACAAGGAACTTAGGAAAAACGGTGCGAGACTGGAAGATACATTTCTCGGGCGACACAAGCACGAGTATTGAGGAATTTCTTGCACGAATAGAAGAAAACTGCTGTTTGGACCGTATCACGGAAGACGAGATTCTTGATTCACTGTCTACACTTTTCAGATGTCAAGCGCTACAATGGTACCGATTCTTGAGACCAACGTGGAACACGTACAAGGAGTTTCGAGAGGCAGCATTGACTGCTTCCAGTAAGGTGCATCGCTATCATCGTAACATGTCTGTGGAGGCCCACTTGAGAACGCAAGGACCCGATGAAATAGTTAGGGATTATTTATCTGCGATGAACACCATATTTAGCCGCTTTGAGCGACCGTGGAGTATTCCAGATCAGATCAATTAGGCTATTGATAATATGATCCCTAAGCTGAAGAAATAAATGAAGAAGGATCAGCAAAGTATTACGTCAATGCCACAGCTTCTTAACCGAGCCCAAGAAGTGGAAATGTCCGAGTCAGACGAACATTGGAAGCATCCGCCGTCTCCATACCAGAGCTTGTTACCAGAAGCGGCATACAAGCCTAAAACGAAAGCGACTGCTCGATCGGACAGGAGCGAGTAAACGAGGTCCCTATCGCTCCATTTATTTCGAGGGCCTCATCAGCTAACGCCGACTCAGGAGACCGTCAGGCCCAGTGCCCCGCAACAGCTATCCACACGCCGGTGCGGAATGTTGAAGCGATTTCGCTGAAGCCAGACTAAAGTACTGCGACGTTCGCTTTAGTCGAAGAATACCCTCGATGGTGGCTAACCTTACAGGTAGGTCACTTTGCTTTCAAAGCATTATATGATACTGGTGCTCCAAGAACCGTATTAAGTCCAATTGGCCTTCAAATAGCCGTGGCCCTTAACTGTCATATAGCTATGTACGACGGCCCGGGAGCTCGCGCTATAGATGGACATTACGTGCCCATCATTGGCAGCGTACAGCTACCATTCTCGGTCGGAGGGGTTTCTCATGTGATAGACGCCCTAATTCTTAGCGAATCCGAAACGGAATGTACTCTAGGAGGAGATTTCATTCGAGCGTTTTCCGCTTGCCTTGACCCAGAGACTAATACCTTACGGGTAAAAGGATGTGACCGACGGGTACCGCTCGTTCTCTCGTCTCTGAGGGTAGATCAGTCGCTTGCCCTGTCCTCTTTAGGCATTGAAGAGATTAACCAGGAGCAACGCGCAGAAATCGACCGAATTGTAGAAGAAGTTTTACCTGAAACTCTTCATAGCATATTGGATGTACGTCATGGATCAAACACGACATAGACGTCGGAGAAGCCCAGCCTATCAAACAAAAATATTACCCAGTATCTCATATTATCGAGATGGAAATGCATACGCAAGTATACAAGACGCTAGAGGCAAATATAATTCGATGCTCGAAAATCGAATGGTCGTGTCCAGTCGTCATGGTTCGAAAACCCGACGGATCATATCGCTTTTGCGTTGATTATCGAAAGATCAATGCGGTATCAAAGGTCAGCGCTTACCCGCTTCCCTATATGGACGTGATCTTGAGAAAGTTGCAGCACGCTAAGTACATTAGCACACTGGACTGCTCGGGAGCTTTCCATCAGATTCCTCTTACGGAGCGATCGATGCCGATTACCGCTTTTACAGTCCCTGGCCTAGGGTTATACGAATTAGTAAGAATGCCCTTTGGAGTTGCAGGAGGACCAGCAACCTTTCAAATGTTAGCGGACATGCTAATTACGCCCGAGATGGAGCCTTATGCCTTCACCTATATCGATGACCTGATTATAGCGACAGAAACCTATGCAGATCATTTGAAATGGCTGACGCATATCCTTGAAAGGATTAAAGAAGCAGGGCAAACCATCAACAAAAGAAATCACGCATCTGTATGACTGAAGTCCGATATTTAGGTGTCCTAGTTAACAGGGACGGGACTCGTCCTGATCCTGAAAGGGTTCGGCCCATTATCGACTATCCGCCACCGAAGAATTTCAAGCAATTGCGTAGGTTTTTAGGAATGGCGTCATGGTATCGGAAGTTCCTGCCCGACTTTGCGAGCATAGCGAACCCGCTTACCACTTTAACTAAGCAAGACGCTTTCGAGCGCATAAAAGGCCTGATCGCTACTGCCCCCGTCTTGGCTAGGCCAGACTTTATGGCTCCATTTATTGTAGAATGTGACGCCAGCGATACAGGATTAAGCAGTGTACTCTTGCAGCACGTCGGAGACGAAAACAGAGTACTTTGCTACGCCAGTCGAGCACTCAGTGCCACCGAGCGAAGGGTTTCGGTCACAGAAAGGGAGTGCCTCGCTGTAATATGGGCAGTCGAAAAGTTCAGACCGTATATAGAAGGCTATCACTTTACCGTGATAACTGATCATTATAGTCTAAAATGGTTGCGGAACCTAAAACTTCCGAACGGCAAGCTAGGACGATGGTCGCTGAGTCTACAGTCCTACAGCTTCGACATCATACACAGAAGAGGAAAACACAACGTAGTTCCAGACGCTTTGTCGCGAATGTACGAAGAGGATGAAGAAACTACTATCGCTTGCCTAGCTTCGCTTAAAGCGTCTCCGCAAGTCAAGGACCCGTGGTACTTGAAATGGGTGCTAAAAGTTCAAGAGAACCCCACTAAACACCCATATTGGAAATATATAGGATATAAGTTATATATTTACAAACCAGATATTATCGTGGACCATTTGATGGGTACAGATGAAGATGCTTGGAAGCTAGTACTTCCACGAGAACAGAGAGCTCAAGTCTTATCAGAGTGTCATGATAGTCTTACCGCAGGACATCTAGGGCGCTATAAGACGCAAAAGCGATCCGCGCTTAAATACTATTGGCCTGGCACACACAGAGATGTAGCTCACTACGTTCGTAACTGCCTCGTTTACCAACAAACTAAAGTGGAGCAAGTTGCCCCAGCAGGACTGATGGGACGGCACCTAGTCACACGGTCATGGGAAATTGTGGCGGGCGACACTATGGGCCCTTTTCCTAAGTCAGTACAAGGCTATGAGCATCTATTAATCTTCATCGACCTCTTCACTCGCTGGATTAAGTGTATCCCGCTACGCAAAGCCAACGGGAGAGCTATTAGACGCGAGTTGAAGGAGCGAGTATTCCTGCGATTTGGAGTGCCCGATAAGTTTTTATCGGACAATGGGACTCCATTCAAAAATAAATTGGTAGACGAGTTCTTGGACTCGTTCAGCGTTGTCCAAGGCACGTGTGCGCCGTACTCGCCAAAGAGCAACCCAACCGAGAGAGTGAACCGCACGATAAAAACCATGATCAGCGCGTTCATCCAAGAAAATCATGCTACCTGGGATGCTCAAGACAACACTAACCTTTGCGTTGCTACCCCACTCTCTGCTTCTACACTTTCAGCTGCTTCCTAACTAATCTGCTGCTAATCTTTCTACGCCTATGTATTATTCCCGGACTGGATCCCAGCAAATAAAAAAACCATCTTCTTACTTGTATTGACTCTTACAGATGGACGCTACGTCGGACGCTTCAGCGGCGAAGAGCCAAGAGGAGTTCCAGGAGCTCCAAGCGCTTACCATCGCTTCGATGGAAGACGAGGCGGTCCCAGCAGGTAGTCAGCCCGAGGAACCAGAAGCGGCCAGCGCAGAAGAATCACTTCAAGCGGCAGTCCCGCTGGACGTGGAGACTTCCGACACCGAGGAACCAGAGCAGGAAGCGGAGGACCCCCCTTCGCGTTGGCGCACAGGGTCGCCTTGGATAGCGCATTTCGCTTTATTAAAATATTAATATTAAAAGATTAATCCGCGAGAGCTATTTATTATATAGCTGATTTAGCCCGAAAAGAGCTCGAGCTAAAACCCCGTTATAAAAAGTAAACATAAATAACTAGTTTGTAAAACTCTTCAGCTTATAAAACTAGTGACGATATATTCATAATCTAGAATAGTTCTAGATTATTTTAGTATATAAACTTATTTACCTTTTACTTGTTGAATTCGTGTGAGTTTTTTTTCCCAACAATCATCAAAACTAGTAGATGTCACTGGTTCAAACTTATTAGTGTACTGCCTGATTCCTTCATCCGTGAGATAACAACATGAACACATAGAAGAATGATATCTAAGCCTTCCTTCATCTAAATAAGGATGAGCTAAAGCATCGTTTACTGAAATCCGTTTATCCTAAAAGTAAAATAAAACTATAATAAAATAGTTATATAAGTTTGTAATATGCATGTTTAGTAACTTAATAAAATAAAATTAACTCATTAAGACATACGACAAAACTGGATAAGATAGTATTATACTAATTATACCATTTTTAGTTTAAAGTTTTTTTAGTTTAAAGTAAAATAAAACTATAATAAAATAGTTATATAAGTTCTTAATATGCATGTTTAGTTTAAAGGAAAAAATGTACCCGTATTTTTTCTTTTGCTATTTGCAGTTGTTACATAAATATGTGTTTAAAGAAGTTATCCAAAAAAGTATTTTTATAAACTGATTACGGCAATCGATTCTACAGATAAAAACATGAGAAAATTAAGTATAAAGTTTTTTGGTGAGACTTCAAATTCTTATTGTAAAACGGCAATATAAAAGCGTAAGCTAAACAGGCACACATGTAGACACCAAATTCTAAACAAAATTTATCTCTATTAATTTTTCCAACTCATTCATTCAATCATTAGGTTGTAATACTTGAATAACCATCCGTATCAGTCTTCTAAATACAGTTTTTAGCCATTTTCTATTATCAAATTTAAGTCTGACAAAAAAACGTTATATATTACAGTAAGCTTTAACTGACTTATTATAAAAATTCAACATAATCAAGATTTCTTTATTTAATGTTTTCTAGCATGAAAAACTAGTATTTTAAGATCATAATTAAAATCATTCTGTCAACCCTTTTTAAAGGAAATACGAAATTTCTTCTTAGTTCATACTCATAACTTTGTGTTTGAGATTATTTGTTGCAAATAATTATCATGAGAACGTATACTACTTGGTTGGAGTATAGCATGTAGCATTATAACCATGCCTATATGTCACATGTACACAGCATATTTAGCAATGTAAATAATTTCAATCGCTGTTTTCATTTTGAAGAGTCTAGATAGATTTTATATAAAGTTCAATATTATATTCAAAATGCTTAAAAACGCCTTGAGTCACGAATATAATTGTAAAAGATTGTGTTTGTTCTGTTTCAAAATGAATAGTATTGTTGTAAAAAATATAAATATAATGAGAAATATAACTTCGAATGGAAAAATTGAGGAGCACGTTGAGAAAGTTTTGAGTGATTACGATTTTTCTCGAGAAGAATTTCCTACAAGCATTTGTACTTCATGTTGAAACAAACTTCATAATTCAAAAGCGAATGAAAATCAAGTAATAACAGTACCAGATCTTAGTCACTTTATATTGTATATAGAATATATATTCTATATATTATTGTTAACGCAGTGTGATGACGGGCAATATTTTTAATTTTTAATTTTTTTTGTATTAGTCGATAAATTTCGCCTTTTCCTTAAATTTTCTAAACACCTATATCTTCTCAAATGTATTTAGAGTTTTCTGAAAAAGCCCATAAAAACGAAAACGTGACCAGACTTAACATCTGAAACATGTCTCATCCTTAAAAAAAATGGTTCAGGCTTTAGCCCCATGCCGACAAGGAAATCTGGCGAGTTAGAGGAAGCCATAAAAATTTTACAACGTCCTGTTTTCAATTTTTTCGGAAATCTAGAAAACCGTTATGCTACGCAAAGCTTATCTAGAAATGAAATAATTATTTTATAAAAGTTGCGTATTCATATATTTTTCATTTTTATTGTATGTTAAATTTATCATATCAATAACCCGCAAAGTTCGGTTAAAAGTAGCATATTTTAATATCCACAAAAAGGCATAATTTTATGAAAAATTCATCAAAGAAACACGAAAATAGTTGCACTTTGAATAAATTACGATGAAAATTTCGTTCAAATATTAGCATGTTGTTAATAAAACTCAAAACTATGTTTCTCTCTCTCTTAGTAGTCTCTAAGTATTATTAGTTTATATTACATATTAGTGTGACATCAGGGTCACTCTCAGGTACGCTTGGAGTAAGCGTAGACTCAGAGTCGCTCTGATTTGTCGTGCACGTAACGCATTAGGCGAGACGAGTAATATTGTTGCGTAAAGGAAATCGTATGCTACGGGATAGGTAATAACTAAGTGATATTACGAACACACCAGATACTCGCTTAATGTGTTCTTAAGGGCCTCTAATGGAAATTCACTAGACTCATGCTAAATGAGTTTCCAGACATGTAAATAACTAAAGCAAGTAAAGATAGCCAGATAAAAATTGTAACGTACTTTTCTTTAATTTTAATCCAAATAAAACATCCATTTGTAGTATTACTCTAGCTATCTGCTCTCTCTCTCTCTCTCTCTCTCTCTCTCTCTCTCTCTTTGAATCTGGGTAGTTTCTCTCGGGCTGGTGATACTTATATTTCCTCTTGATTTTCTTAAACTTTCCTCGACTTGCTTGACTTCTTTGAACTCTTTGGCTTTCTCGACTCTTTTTACTATTTAACTCATTCACTCCTTCACTCCCCGACTTCTTGACTTCTTGTACCATTTGAGGCCTTGTGCAGAGCTTTCTATAATCTGTGGGTGGTTGAGTGGAAATCCCCTTCTTCAGCCCCATGTGGTGCTAAGTCGAGAATTTCCGCACTGGCTGAAGAATTTTCTTGAACGAGCCAGAACATATCATTAGTTGGAAGGTGTGATAATCTTAATTTTACATTGTCACTTAATACTGAAGAATTAATAATAAATTGAGATAACGCCAACATACAACAATTCCATGACTAATTATTATAAACTATTTATAAAAGCTCCAAACTCATCTGAATAGTTATAAAATTAATTGTTATACAATTATTTGGTATATTCTGCAGTTGAATATGGACTATTGTTACCTTTTATCTCATTAATTTAAACTATATATTCCTATGTTAAAAAAAAATGTGCACTATTGTATAATGGTCGTTAAAAAATTATTTAATTTTTTATAATATTCTTTAGAAGTAATTACAATATTTTGGTGTCTTAAGGTATGATTTTCTATGAACGTTTTTATGCTTGAAAATGGAGATTCAATAAAAGAATGGGGAGAGCCATGATTATTTATATTTATTTATATGCATGGACACACTTTCTAATTCGGATATTTTATTTTACTCTTTCCTAATGATAAAATTTTGATCGCCTTAAAAGAAGAGAATTCAGTGGGAAAACTAGAGACAGGAAACAGATTACAGTTTTATGACTTTACTCAATAACATGTAGGCAGGTGAGTATTTACACGTGGGGACTGCAGGCTCTCTTAATGCATGTGAACGAGAAAGAACAGAATCTGAGAGCAGCAACTAAACGCAAAGAGTATAGGCTTAAACCAGTGCTATGTTGATTTTAATTGCTTCATATGGAAACTATTTTCAGTGGGAAGAGAGAGAAAATCATAGCTGTAACTCCCATCCTAGTTCTCCTCACTTGCGAGTAAAGGTTCTCATTCTATTTTTTCCAAATTAAAAAAAAGGAATTCTTTGAAATGGAGTAAAATTATACCCCGACATCACATTTGTCGAAATTTATGCTTCAAGTAAATGTTTTCTTTATTCTTAATAATCAAGTTAATGTTTAAAATTAAATGAAACAAATAATTAATATTTTCTCCATAAATATTCAATCAATTTTAAAAATATTCATTACGTATATAATTTTCGACTTAAATCAACGAAATTCAATTTTGTTAATAAATTTTATTACTTAACCTGTAAAGAGCTTTTCGCGAAAATACAATAAATAAATAAATAAACTAAAAGAAGAAAATGAGATAAAAACGGTACATCAGGAACCATCTCTTGAAAAAATGAACCAAACTTAAAAATTATCGCCCTCAATTATCTAAAAAAATTCACGCCTTCCGACCAATTTTGACTATTTTTAGCGAGAGAAACTCTCAACCGATCTAAAACTAAAAAGAAGAAGCTTTGAGGAGCCTGAGCAAGGGACTTCCCACTTCCAACAACCCTCCCAGGGCATGAGCCACCTATAATAATAGAATAAGTCCTACGCTACCACCGACTCAAAGAAGAAAACTTTTGCGAAATCACTCTTTGAGTCCTCCAGCATCGGTGATTTAGCAAAAAAAATTTTGATTTTTTATCTAAAAGTGCGCGCAAAGCTTTGAGCGTTTGTAGTTGTGGTTTTCAGTCAAAAATTAATAAACGAATAAAGAGACAGAGAGAGAGAGAGAGAGAGAGAGAGAGAAAAATTCCAAATTAAAATCCTTTTTCTCAACCTTTTAATTTTCCCAATTCTAAGTCAGCTATTCGCTCCGCGAGGAAGATTAGCTTGACTCAATATCTCTGTCTGTTTAAATCGCAAGTCGCCCCGTATAGTAAGCTTGTTTCTGAGCCTAAAAAATTTTGTAACGCACAAGAATGAAAATATTATTATTCAAAAGAGTCGTTCGGTTTAAGTACGTGAAACTGCAAACCAAAATTACGCATGTAGTCACAATTTACATGACAGCCACATACCAATTAGGGCTTATCTGGTAGACCACGAAAAATAACAAAGTCTGATAACGTATTTATAAAAATATATGTTTTCGTAACAGACGTTTTACAGCTAGACAAATCACTGCTAATCGGCATCTAAGAAAATCAGTGATTTGTATAATCGTAAAGCGTGTGGTGGGAAATTTCGGGGGTCTTAACCGCTCTATCGAATCTCTTCCGCCACAAGGCCTGATTGGCTCTTTACCCCCGGTTATTTAGGGCGCCAGACCGCCGTCTAACTAAGGCTATCGTCGGGGATAGGGCCTAAAGATCGTCGCGTATCCCGGTTTGCTATCACGGCGACTGCGCAGGATGGGCAAACGGATGGGTATTCACGATCTCCTCTGCTCCAGGCCTCGGTGTCCTACAATTCGATTCCTCTTTGTCTCCTCATTTATGGTATGCCGGCAACTCAGATGATAACTCCTTGTTTCAGGTCGGAAGTCCGTTCGAATTCGCGCGTATGTTACCTATAGAGGAAACCGAAAATATAACGAATCAGCGTTACCCGATTATAACCGCTCGCGGCTGAAAATAATCAGCATGCAAATA